AAAATATATATATATATATATATATATATATTTTTTTTTTTTTTTCTAATTTCTACGGAGAATATTATCAAATAGTTTCAAAGCATTTGATTTTGGAATTTGATTGGATCGATGCTTACAAAGTTCAGAATATGACAATACAATCTAGAGAGCCGAGAAGAGAAGATGGATCAATTCGGCCCGGGGATGACAACAAAGGGATTGTGACACCTCCTCTGTCATACAAAAAGACAATATTGCTAGCTAGGATCTAACGGGATCGTGACGTACTAAGAAGACCAATTGGATCGCGACACAAGAGTCCCGTGATCGAATATCGACAACTATAGGTAGGCAACTATCGTGGCTTGCCTTAGTTCGACGGGATCATGGCATACATGGAAGCGACAACGGAAGTCAACGATATAGTCGTGATAAGAACTACGTGGAAATGACGACAATTGAAAGCGATATATTTGCTTCACTTCCCTTTGCAATATGCAGTGGACAACACAAGATTTATCAACAAGAATGTTGCTTACATGAATTCCAATTGTAGCACACGGAGGGATTGCATTGAAATTCTGCCTCGCTAGCAGTGTCGGTACCTTCCCTCAGCGATTCATGGTTGCAAGTCACAGCTGATTGACCTAATTGGGAAGCAAATAAAGGGATCAAAACACAAAAATTCCTTGTTAGAAAATTTTCCTGAGAGTAAAGGAGACAAAAAAAAAAAGATGCTATGGAAGAGAAGTTTGAGAAAAAGATAAGCCACATCAGATCTGAAACATAGGAATGTTTTGTCGGTATTAGAGAGTTGTTTGATCGGAGGTTCAGGACCTTGGAAAAAATTATGAAGAAGATCACGAAGTTTCATGCAAAATTGCTGCCTCCTGCAGCGGGACAAACGACGTCTTGATCATGAGAGGCAACTAGTAGGATTCACAAGACGTCCGAGCATCATTGTTGCCTTAGCATATTCGGAGTTGTGAGATTAAGCGAAGGAATTTAGATTGGATTCGAGTGACTATATGAAGAAATTGTGTGTGAAATTAGGGCAACACTGCTAATTTAGACAAATTTGGAGCTACAGGATTGAGCAAAAGACTCAGGAGCATGAACGATTGACAACACTTGGAAGGACTAGTTAGACCTCCTAATGACTAGAATGAACTGAAGCAGGCAGGATTGAACGAAGGAATCATGAGCAGATTCGAGCAGTAACATCTGGAGGGAATTACACAACATTTGGAGGTTTTGAAGGAGTAGCAATAGGCAGAACGAGACAACGTATAATTCGGGTTTGGAGAAGATCACTTCGAAGAATTTTGGCATGGAATATGGAACTATGGTGGGTGGCCCTTGCAGAGGGTTGCATCCAACTGCACCAATGTCTTTTGCGGCGACAACTTTTCGGGCGAAAGGAGATTCACAAGTAATGATGAGAATGAGATATGTGTAGAAGAGCAGAGGAGTTTGTAGGGGCTGATTTTGACATTACAAAAATTTAGGAGGGAGGCAAGATGATGGCCCTTCGCTGTGAACCCAAGTTGTGCAAGCCTTTGATATCGTTGAAGACTATCATGAGGGTTATTCAGGATGCATGGTTGGGTTTCTCAATCCAGTTACGTTATATGGAAGAGACACATGATACAAAATTAGCAGAGATTATGGTGATCAATAAGCTACTTGATGAGTTGTATGCGACGACAGTATTTTCTAGGTTTGACTTGAAGTTAGGGTCCCATTTGATTTGGATGCGCCTAAGGATGTGCACAAGATGATATTTCGAGATGGTGATGGTCACTATGAGTTTTTGATTAAATGGAAATGATTGCCAGATGAGACACCACGTGAGAGCCATACGTCTTGATACTACGACAGTTCTGTCCAACTTGAGGATAATGTGCATTTTTGGGAGGGGAGTAATGTTACATCGGTGCTTAAGGACAATTTAGTATTTATTAGCTTTAAGACAATTTAGTTAATTGTAATTTATTATTGTTTAGTATAAATAGGACAAATATGTTTGGAGTTAGGCTTATGCATGAGATTGTGGTTGTGAGTTTTAGGGCTAGAGTTTGAGAGAGATTTTCTTCCTCTCGAATTGTAGTATTTGGGAGAGATCGCCTATCACTCGATTTGTAGGTGCTTATCTTTTATGTATTTGAGTGTATTGTTTGGTGTTCTTCTAATAAAATATTTTATTTTTCTAATTTGTACGAAAGATCCCATTTGTTTCTTTTCATCCATATAATGAGTTTGGTTGTTCATCGTTCACAGGGAGCCTGAGGGCTTTGTAGAGGTGATCACTTCACTTATAGGGATGCTCACTATGATGAAATCTTCAACGATTTTTAACGACACATATTTTTCTCATAGATATTGTAAACACCATTTCAAATTATTCAAGTGATTTAAGAAAATAAAAGCTCGATTAACAAAATGGTACTCTGATTAAGGGGGTGTTTGGTAGAACTTTTTAATAAGATTTTGTTATGCTGCTGCCTAAGGATAATTCTGTCTTTACTAGCCTAAGGGCAATCTAGCCCTTTTTTTTAGTTATTATTGTTGGGTACAAATAGACTATATACTTAGGTTTGGGGGTTAGGGTTTGAAAGATATTTCCTACCTCTTGAATTGAAGGATTTGGGAGAAACCACCTATCTCTGAAATTTTAGGTGCATATTTTTTATCTATTTATGTGAGTTGTGTGGTGTTATAATGCTTTGATTTGAAATCAGTGAAATAAAATATTTGTTTGTTCTAATTTCTATGGAAAAATCTTCTATGTTGTATCAAATTAGTATCAGAGCTGTTGTTTTTTGGGAATTTATGGAAATAAAGGAAGGGATCGTGACGTACAAGGATCTACGTCACGCTGACATGTAAAAACCACACGAAACAGTCGCTGGAAGGCTAGGGTCAGGATCATGGCATACATGTGCACGCCTTCACGTTAGTAACCTCGCGATACAATTCAATTAGAGCTTGCTGAGAGGCTACGACGAGATTGTGGTGTACAAAGACTTGAAACTCTCATTGCGGCATAAACATTCCACACTATATAGCCTCTATTTGAGCTAGCTGAGAAGCAACGATAGGACCGCGTGAGACAATTGTGATTGAGCTAACTGGGAAGTGATGACAGGATTGCGTACAACCTCCTAAATTGCTATTTAGGCGATCTGGCTGGATTACGACATAGGACCTCACAGTACAATCGAGATTCGGGCTACCTAATAAGCCAACAACTGCATTTTAACTTATAGTATTCCCACCTTTGTAACAAAAAATCTTCGCGGAAGTAATGAAGACCAAGAAAGTTGATGATTTGGAGAAGAAAGAAGAGGAACAAATGAGCCAAATCAGATACAGGATGGAGGAACGATTTTAACCATTGAAGGAAGATCTTCCTTCTTAGAAAACCGACAACTTAAGAGTTGATTTGAGAGCTTGGAAGAGATGATGAGAAAATTTATTGAGATGCAATCTAAAACCCCGTTGGAATCCCCTTGGCTAAATTATAAGAGAAAGAGCTCAGACGAGTGAAATATGAGGAGAAAAACATCCACCATCAAGAAAGCCTTTTTAGGGCTTCGATGGGGGTTGGAGTAGAGATTTCCGATGGAGGGGTTGTGCCGAAACATGAAGAAGGGGTTATGCAAGACATGGAGGAGCAAGAAGAAGGGGAGAAACCGAGATGGGTTATGACTATGATTGAAGGATGGAGTTTTACCCTAAATACATGGGGGAAACATCAGAGGGAG